TTACAGTACGTCATATATTATTATCATACAGAACAGAATCAATAAAATAGAAGAGTGAGCCACTATCACCTTTTGCGGACAAGCAACCTTGATTTATATCATAGGAACAATGAAACTTGCCCCACTTGCAAAGGCATTGCAAGGAATTCTGCCAGCAGTAGAGAGCTTTCAGCCATCTAGATATTGCTGTGAGCTGTACCACAAGTTCTCCTCACCACTAGCCCTGCTGATCAGGTTATTGAGAGTTGTAATCTAGTCACATTTACGAGGCCAGTGGTCTATAGCAGGGGTCTCTGATCTTGATAACTTTAAGCCTGGTGGACTTCAAGTCCCAGAATTCCCTTTGCTGGCTGTGGAATTCTGGGAGTTGAAGTCCGCCAGGCTTAAAGTTAACAGATATAACAGATAATCAGAGTTGGAAGGGACCTTGTAGGTCATCTAGTCCAACCTCCACCCAAGCGGGAGACCCTACACCATTTCTGACAAATGGCAGTCCAATCTCTTCTTGAAACTCTTCTTGAAGTTGCCAAGGTTGGAGACTCCTGGTCTATAGCATGTGTTTTGGATACCCAAATGCATTACTGTGCATATATGCAAAGTTCAAAGCTCACAAAAACTCATATCTCTTAGTGAAAGTTGTTAGACAATAAAGATGCTGCCAGATTCCTTCTGAATAAATACTAGCGATCTTTCCATTTGCACATCTATTCTAGATGGCACAAATAGTGCTTTAGAACTCATGTTCATTCCTGATTCATTACGTTTTTAAAGGCAAAAGAAGAAATACATAGAGGAGAGAACCACATAACTGTAGAGAGAGAACCACATTTTATATTATTGGCCTTTGTAGTTCAATATCATATCGGAAGGTCAACAAGTTAGCAAATGTATGATTGTTGTATATTGCTAGCTCAATCCTTCAAGTGAGCAATATTGGAAAGCTATGTGGCTTTGCTCCTGAGGTGGGTGACAAAAACTGACCAGTGGAAAGATTCTTGTGAAATTAAGACAGGCCAAGTTGGAACCAACTGATTATTGTTCTTATTGTTCTTCTGTTACAGTCAGGCTCCCCAGAACAAGAAGGCTTCTTCAATCTGCTGACTCATGTGCAGGGAGGACGTATGGATGAACAACGCTGTAACATTCAAATTGTACATGGCAAGAGTGGCTCAGATCCCGAAAACAGTGAGTGCTCTAAGCTAGATAAGAAAATTTAGTAAATCCAGGAGTTACTAGGGCAGTGAATGCATTTTCCAAAAACCAAGCAAAACTTTGGATCCCGACTACTGCTAAAGAGAGACCATCTTCTGTTGGATCTAGTTTCAGTATTTACAAAACAGATGTCTTGGTATATGGGAAAGTTTTCTCGCAAAATTCATGTAAAATATTATGAGAAAGTCTTCTTCCACTACAGATTAACATACTGATAGCTCATTTACTCTGAACCTTTTTCTAGAGTGCAACTGAAATCCCCTAACTACTGGGCCTATTTGTTAAGGGAAGCCATTTCCAATATTGCTTGGGGATTTCATCTGATAAATACTCACTGGCTTTCAGTGACTGTAGGGATATATCCATGTGGGGTGTTTTGTTTGCTTGCTTTTCTTTTTATTTATTTATTATTTTTCACCTTTTTGAATCACCCACCTCCCTCAGAGCCAGAAGTAGTTTACCATTGTCTTCTTCTGACACATGATTATTTTCCTGGTAGTCTTCATTCAACCCTGCTTTGCGGTTTTGAAATCAGCCAAAGTTAGCTAGGAACTGTTTCACATCCATCAAATGCTAAGAAGCAAAGGTGCTAAATTAACAAACGGCAATGTTTGACATACTCCAGACTAGTGACATCTAAAACAATGAAAAATAATGTACTCTTGCTGTCCTTCATTATGCCCTCCATTGATAGCTGTTTCTATTTTGGGGGGGGGGCCTGCAGAGGATAGCCCCAGCCCACCCCCTGAGATGGACAACTTAATGAAAATGCTGGCTCATACACAGAGCCGACGAATGGACGATCAAAGGGTCAGCTTCAGCTACCTTCCTGGTTTTCAGAACAGTAACACCAGCAGCCCAGCAGGCTCCGGGACCACCAAGGTGAGTCTCTTTAGAAATGGATGTGAGCAGGAGCAGGGTGGTCATTAAAAACCTGCCTAAAAAGTAAAGAAGCCGGGTTGGTAAATCAATCAAATGAGCTAAGCCACACAACCCCGTTCTCAGAAGCCTTGTCTTACTAAGTCTGGAAACAGGCAAAGGAAATATAAATACAGCTGTATCTCTTTTGCTTTTTTTTTTAATGAGTTCCCTAACTCTCTAAAATTCCCAGGATGGATCATGTAATGGAAAATATATAAAATCTGAAACCTTGATAACAAAAAGCAGCACACCCCTAAAAGAAACAGAGACACTCTTGGCCCCTGTTCCACTATCATGTAGGAAACATGATAGAAACTTAATATATTTTTCAGGACAATAATAGCATAAGAAACAGCAATCCCGTCTATGGAGCTATCATGTTTGCACATGTGCATTTTGTACACGTGTGAAAAGGAGCAGGTTTTTGATCACAACATATCTCATTGAAATTTTTGGACAGCCTGTTGTCTGGGTCCCCCCCCCCCCCCCAAATCATTTCAAAGTTGTTCTCTATCTTTGTGATGTTTCGCATCAGGAATCTGGTTGCATTTTAGTTCAAATGCCGTCTCTTTTTTGTACAGGTTTGGCTTGATCTAAAAAGTCCTCCAGTGCCCAATCAATCTGAATCTTTCCTCCTGGCACCATCCATACATTAAGACTCACAAGTGCTTCCTGCCTGTCCCGTGGAATAGAAAACCTATTTTCAAAAGCCTTTCTTGGCAACCCTGCCTTCAAGGGCTGGCCAAATATAGTTATCATCTCATTAGCACCTATGTGGACCAAACTACTGTTTCTTTTTCCCCCTCACATTATCAAGCAGCTTGTTTTCTCTTCCAAGTGTGCCTTAACACTCTGATATCAGTCAGTCACGCATCCAGAAGGGCATAGGACAGGCAATTGTGCCTTGAGCAAAGACCAAACTATGTTGGAAAATTTCCTTGGGGGGTGGGGGTGGGGAAACTCCAGTGAACTTGTCATAAGGTTACAATGTGCTTGCTGCAAAACAGTCTCGAATGAGAAATACGTATTTAAATATGAGAGGATTCACGGCACCCAGCCATAACCTCTCAAAATTCTCTTCCGAGTTGATTCTGTCTATGCCTATGCTTGTGTCTGCTTCTGCCTAGCCACTCTATACAGAGGAAAATTATCCTACCTTTTGCTGCATTATCATCCTCTGCCTATTTTCTTCTTGCAGAAATGAGATCCTCCCAGCCCTGCTTGGGAAAGCAGCAGAGATACCAATGTGATGCCACTAAGCACGCGCTATGCCTCTCACTCAAGATCATCCCCTCACTGCTGTATCAGCCTTGCACATTTACTGTACATGCCCTGTGATTCTAATAAACATGTCCAACTGTTCCCTCCTTGTTGATTTCCTTAGCAGATATCCTAGTGTCAGGATGGGCATGCCACTACAAGACAACACTGCTGGTGGCTTGAAAAAGAAGTTAGCTGTTTCTTGCCAGCCATATGTATAATCAAAGCAAAAATGTAGATAACATTGCTACTAATTCTGTTTGCAGCTCAGGAAATAGTGAAGAATACATAAGACTAAGAATTCCGAATCCCTCTTTCTCCCTCGAGAGACAAAGTTCTTGCTGCTGGACTAAATAATTGGACCCAAATTCCATCAAAAAGAAAATGACACTACTATTCTAACATTATTCATGCTTCAGTGTCATGTCATAGCTTAGAAAACAAATAAATTAATCCCAGTAAGCCCTCTTGAATTCCCAATTTAAATTCCCTGTACTAGATAGGTTAATGGAAAATTTTCGTTTGATGGAAAAGAACCAGAAAGGCTATTGAAAGAATTAGCACATAAAGGACACACTTACCCATATAATCCTTCTCTTAGGTTTCTATAGAAGAGCCCTCATAGAGCAGTGGTTAAAATGCAGGATTGCGGGCTAACTCTGCCGACTTGCCAGGAGTTTGATCCTGACCGGCTTAAGGTTTACCTTCCATCCTTCCAAGGTCGATAAAATGAGGACCCAGACTGTTGGGGGAAATACGCTAATTCTGTAAACCGCTTAGAGAGGGCTGTAAAGCACTGTGAATCGGTATATAGGTAAGTGCTATTACTATCTGCAAGGGCATAAGTGGGCAAAAATGACTACATGCACATTGCAAAGTAATCTCAGCCTGCAACACCCTTACATTGTGACACCGAGAGGCAGGTATGAAAGGAAAAAACTACTAGGTCTCAATGCAAGTTTCATTAATTGGACTTGTGTCTTGGAACAGACATTTATAACTCCTTTCCACATGAAATCTGCATACATTTTCAACCACATATATTCAAGGAGCATTAAAAATAGGAAGTGCTGGGGAGCTAAAATCCAAGCAATAGGAGTGCTCAAGAGAAGCTACTAGTTTTCCAAAATTTTTGGAATTTTTTCCTTGCAAACATTTTGCTTCTCATCCAAGAAGTTTCTTTAGTTTAAGAAGTCTTGGTTTGAAAACTGAAGAAGCTTCTTGGATGACAAGCAAAATGTTTTCAAGGAAAAAAACCAAGAAAATCTAGATGTCTTTTGGAAAACCACCTTTAGGTTCTCCACTTATTGTTTTCTTTCTTGCCAGTTTTTCATACCACAACCGACCTTGTTCAGCAGTTACTGAAAAAGATAATACACTACTAATCCCATACACCACTGTTCCCCAACCCAGTTCCCCTTTAGAGTTATTTTGCTCCTATTAGTTGACTAATTCTTAGAGTGGTGCTGCACTTCTGATTCAAAGATACTTAAGAAAATATCACAATTTGAACTTCAGTCTGGGAGATGCAGTACTATACAGTTGTGCTGTGTAATATAATCTTACTGTATGCTGCTTTAGTCAAGGTGATTCACATGAGACAGTTGCCAAGTCAGTGATTAATTTTAATGATTATTCGTTGCAAGAGACTGATCACAACTGAAGAAACAAAATCATTTTTTTCTCATTCTTATATCCAAAATGTTTTAGATATAAACAGAAGAATACAATTCAGAATTACATATATACAAAATTCCAGAAATTATTGTGGAATACAATTTCATTTCATTGCCGAAAATCTTCTGGAATTAAAGGGAGAATACCACTCCATTATTTTTTAGCCTCCTCCAACTGTTTCTTCTCACTCATCTCCCGCAATCTCTTTCTAAAGGCTTCTAGATCTTTTCTCTGGAGAAGACAGAAATGCAATTTTCACCATTGATTTTTCTCCCTTCCAAACTGTACATTAATGGCATTTATTGCAGCAACAGATTTACCTGCTCTTCATTTAGAGGTTGAAAGATCTTGCTCTGTAGAAAATGTAGCAAGAAAACAATTAGTGTCAGAAGTGATATAACAAGCTATGACAGAATATAAAATGCCACCAAGAAAAAATGGAGAGGAGATCAGCAAGTAAAATGCTGTGCTTAAAAGAAATAGTTGAATGGAAACTGGAATCAAGGTGCATCATTTAGGAGGGAAGATGCTCTACTATGTTCTACTGAATGTCCTACTTGTCACTATTGTGAATTTCTTTTATTTTAGCATGATAGACCATAGAGTCCAGCCAGTACTTGAGCAAGTCCAATTTAAATCAAAATAGAAAAAATGCAGAATAACGGAGTTGGAAGAAACCTTGGAAGTCTTCTAGTCCAGGGGGCGCCAACTTTTTGGACCTCAGGGACCACCAAACTCATAATTTTAAATCCTGTGGACCAGAGACCCTGGGAAAATCCCCCAAAAAGTCTGCAGGAAAATTCCCCACCCCATTTTCCTACCGATTGATCATTCTTTATTTGAGATTGCAGGATACCATCTCCAGCTCCGTTCTCAGGGGGAGAGAGAGAGAGAGACTTTTGGCTTCATGGAAGGAAAGCAGAAGCAGCGGAAGTCTTTCTTTCTCTCCCCCCCCCCCCAAACTCCACCAGAAATGAGTCTTTGTGAGAGTTGTCACATCGGCGCAGCCTCTTAGAGCAGGATGCCTTGCAGGGTCCCAAAGACTCATTTTTGGCAGAGTTGAGGGGAGAGAAAGAGTTTTGCTGCTTTCCTTGCGTGCAGCCAAAAGCAGAAGAGGAGAAAGGAGCAGCCTGGTGGCCAGGTGAGGTGTGTGAGGCGCGTGGGGCAAGTTCCCCCCTCCCCTCACTACCTCGTGTTGTTCACAATGCAAGTGACGCAAGCCTTGTGTTCCCGCGGGCCATGTGGGCAGCGCAGCCTTGTGTTCCCGCGCAGCCTGGATTAATTGCTTTGGGGAGTGCTTTGAGGTGACATTTCCCTGTGGACCACCAAAATTTTCTCACGGACCACCAGTGGTCTCCCTGGTTGGCGACCGCTGTTCTAGTCCAACTCCCTGCTCAAGCAGGAAACCTACCAGTCAGATAAAGTGTTGGAGCATCCACAACTTCTGGAGGCAAGTTGTTCCAATGATTCATTGTTCTAACTGGCAGGAAATTTCTGCTAGTTTCTAGGTTGGTCCTCTCTTTGATTAGTTTCCCTCCTTTGCTTCCTGTGGTACCTGCAGATGCTTTGGAGAATCGGTTGACCTCCTCTCCTTTGTGGCAGGCCTTTAGATACTGGAACACTGTTAATCATGTCACCCCTAGTCCTCCTTTTTATTAAACTAGACATACCCAATTCTTGCAATCTGCAATTGCATACCCAATTCCTGCAACTTTTTGGTTATGACTTTGTTTGCCTTTAGGTCAGTGGTTTCCAATTTTCCAGCTCTGCAGACCAGTGGCAGGGAAAAAAGAGGGGATGGTTTTGCGAGCACACTGCTTGCACAAATGCAGCTTTGCAAGCTCAACTGCCACTTGCGTGGCCCGGTTTCCAATGGGCCATGGCTCAGTACCAGACCACAGACCAGGTGCTGGGAACCCCTGCTCTAGGTGCTCGTAGATTTGTTGCTTATCTTTTCCAGAATCTTTCCAGGTATTGATACCAGGCAGATTCCCCCCCCCTTTTTTTGGGGGGGGGGGAGATGAACATCAGGGAAACTTTGGAAATAAATGTATTAGCACAAAATTTTCTCATCTGATTACAGACGACTTACTGCGATTGCATATTTTTCAAAAAATTCAGTCTGATTTGCTGTCCAGAATATAGCAACTGGGAAAGTCAGATACAGCATCATCTGAAAGAGAAAGAAAAAAACCCAAATGCCGTTGGTTGAATCACAGAAAAAAAATTGCTTTACTTGACTTATATTGGATTTTTTTTTCTTACTTCCTTAGGTAAAAGGCAGACATTACCAAAATGGTAAAAAGAAAGAGTCTGTATTTCTTTTCAGACTAATTCTTTTTAGCATTGGTGATATCCACAGCTGTACTAGTCTCTCTGGCAGCAGTTCTCAAACTTTTTGGTCTCACGATCTCTTTACATGTTTAAAAATTATTGATATGTCAAAGAATTGTTGTTAACACGTGTTGTATCTATCAATATTTACTATATTAGAAATTAAAATAGAGAATATTTTATAGTATTTTATTTATTTATATTTCATATTTAATTGTCCATCTCCCTATAATTCATATATTGTTCATCATAAATCAAGCTCTTTGCAAATAAAGCTATTTTCATGTTAATATATTTTAGCATAAAAATAATTACATTTTCCAAAACAAAAACAAATAGTAAAAAGAGTAGCATTGTTTTAGTATTTTCAAATCTTCTTAATATCTGATTTAACAGAAGAGTGCTGAATTGTCCTATTTATTTCTGCATTCAATCTGCTGCCATCTGCTGTTTTGGAAGGAATACATAAGGAAAAGTCAGCCTCACACAGATCTTAGTTGGAAAAGAAAGAAGCACTGCAGCCTTTTCAGGAAATTCTGTTTTGACTCCATACTAAAACCTAACATGTTTAGCAGCAATGTAAAACTAAAGAGTGAAAAAAAAAATCTTTGCATTATTATGAAAATAATTTTGACCTAGCAGATCCCCTGGAAAGGGTCCTAGGCCACCCTTTGAGAGTCACTGCTATAGGGCAAAGTCTCAATCTTGTCAACTTGAAATTATGTGGACTTCAGTTTCCAGAAATTCCCCAGCCAGCATGAGTTGAAGTTACCCATCTTCAAGCTGCCAAGGTTGACAAACATCACTTGCAGGGGAAGAGAAGGAGCCAATTCCTCCCAACACAGATAGTCCTCGACTTACAACAGTTCATCTAGTGACCATTCAAAGTTACAACGGCACTGAAAAAAGGGACTTATAACCTTTTTTCACACTTATGACCGTTGCAGCACTCCCATGGTCACATGATCAAAAATTCAAATGCTTATGACAGTTGCAGTGTCCCAGGATCACACGATCCCCTTTTACGACCTTCTGACAAGCAAAGTCAATGGGGAAACCAGATTCACTTAACAACCGAGTCACTAATTTAACAACGGCGGTGATTCACTTAACAGCTGTAGCAAGAAAGGTGGTAAAATGGGACAAATTTCACTTGACAACTGTCTTGCTTAGCAAGAAAAAAAATTGGGCTCAATTGAGCTCATAAGTGGAGGACTCTTCCTCTTTTCCTCAATAGCTCCAAGTTTCTGATCAGTTTAAGCCCCAAGGAATAATTGCAGGAAGGGAGTGAGAGGAGGCGGCGTTGTTTCCCTGCAAAGCCTATTAACAAGTGCAACTTAGAGTTCACGCACTGAAACACGTCAAAAATAAGAATTCCCGAGTTCTTATATGTGGGTATATGCATAATTTTGTATGTATGCATGTATGTATGAATATGCATATTTACTTATGTAGTGTATATTGGAGGTGGTGACCCTTTGAGAGCTGTATGCAACGAAATTTCATTTTAATGTATGCCAATCAGTGTACATTCAAAAGTGACAATAAAAGTTATTCTAAGTCTCCACTATGTCGCAGGTCCTCCGACCTTGACCCTTCCCCCAAAGCGGAACGTAGGAAGCCGCCCCGGGATCTAGCGGGCCGCTTCCACCCGACCGATCCCTTTAATAAACCTGAATCCAGCCTCTCTCTCCCCCCGCCGCCCCCCCGCCCCAATCTTCCCGCCGCCATCGCAATACAGACCCGCAAAATCTCAAGCTGGTTCCTGGATATCATGATGCCCGGCGACGGAAAAAGGAACCCGCCTCCTCTCTCCAATGGCCAATGGGAGGCCAGCCCAATGCAAGACGGAGACGAGGGACTGATTCAATGTTAAATTTCGAACGCAACGAAGAAGGGAGGAAAGACGTCATCTTTGCGCGCCGTATTTGGCCTCGACAGGCAAAGGCCGCGATGCCGGAGTCGGAGACTGTCTCAGGAAAGCGGGAGCTTTTCTTCGTGAGTACGGCTGGGGAAGAAGTTGGGTCCCTGGGTCGGGAGGTTGGGCTTCCATTGATGTTTACGTGGCGAGGCTTTTTCTCAATGCAACCCCTCGGAAGGGGAGGCTCGCTTCGATATCTTTTTTCCCCCCTCAATGGAGTAATAGAGTGGAATGCTGTACTTTATTGGTCAAGTGTGATTGGAGGAATTTGTCTCCGGTGCAAAAGCTGCAAAAGCCACAGAGTAATCCTGATCATAACAATGATACCAATAGGAAGGGGGTAGTGAAGAAGATGGGAAGGATAATAATAAGAACACTACAGTCCTACAACATGGATGAATAGACTTAGACATAAGTCTTTTTAAGTGTAAGTATACTGGTCTAAGTATATACTTGAACAAACACCCCCGATCGCGAACAGAAAAAGCAGTGCAGTTACAGTGGATCGCTTTTGCAACATCGTCAATATACCGTGGGGATTTTTGCTCGTGGTGAAAAAGCTTGTGCCCCTTAATTATCAACTGTGAATCGCAATCCATAGTTGTGATGGAAGGAATAACAGTTGCTCTGATAAAGATCAGACAGGAAAGCCTGGCTGTCTAAAACTACTGTCTGCATTTTATCTTTAAGAAAAGATTTGGGAATTATATAGGCACCCTAAAATGGCTTGTATAACCAACTTCTAACAGTATATGATCAATGGATGAAAATCACAAAATGCTATGTTGCTTTTGAAAGCACATTTTAAGATAAGTATAGCTGCAATTACTCAGTGCCTTTGTGAAATGGGCAGGAAAGACCATAACATTAATATTTCAATTAATAGTATTTCCAAGTCTATTACAACTTTTATATCAACATTTAGTAACATACTCTTATAAAATTATTTTTATTAACCTATTATTACCATATAACTAGTGGTGTGGATAGGAACATTACAGGGATTAAATAGCCAGCAGCTATTTAATGACACTGAGATTAGGATAAGTGTTTAGATTTTCTTGGTCCCCCATATATGTGTTATTACTACATAATGCTATCATCTATCCTATAGAAAAAACCTGAAAATAGTACTGTTGAGATATTGAGGTTGTAGGGCTGTTCAGTGAAAGAAAACTGCTTTTTGTCCAAACCCATGTCACCTCCCTGCACAGGAGGAAGAAGACCTACAATATGAAGAAGAGATCTTGCGCAACCCATTTTCTGTCAAGTGCTGGATCCGCTATATTGACTTCAAGCAGAATGCTCCCAAACATATCCTGAACCTGATCTATGAGAGAGCTCTTAAGGAATTGCCAGGAAGGTATAGTTATCTTTCATTCATTATGATTGTTTTGAAAATTGCATTTTTGCAAATATTGAAATTATATTTTTAACACCCAGTTTTTTATAAAAGCCACTGATTTTTCAAAGTCAATAACTCGGATGCCCTTTCTGCCCCTTGCTTTTTTTTTTTTTTTTTTGTCAAAGTTTGTTTTTGCTGAAAGAGATTAGTAATACTTTGGGTAGCCAAATCTTCCCAACAAAAGTGTGAAGATTGTGGTTCAAAATTTGCTGTCAGTCAGAGTTGGAAAAGATCGAGATTCTTTATTTTGATGTTGATGATCTCTTTTGTTTTGCAGCTACAAGCTCTGGTACAACTATCTTAAGCAGCGGCGGAAACAAGTTAAGAGCAAATGTGTAACAGATCCCTGCTATGAAGAAGTTAACAACTGCCATGAGCGTGCCCTGGTCTTCATGCATAAGGTACAGTATTAGCCTGCAGACTCAAAGGGTTTGGTAGAGCCTGAGAGGAGCAGGACGACATGGATGGGAAAAGCATTTGGCCTGTGCATTAAGTTCAAGGGGGCTCAGTTTAAAACACTTGCTGATTAGTTTTCCGATTGGAAAGGAAGGTGACTACAAGGTAGTCCTTGATTTATGATCAACAACTATTTGAAGTTAGGACAGGCTCAAAAAAAGTTACCTGCTTGCAACCTGTCCTCAGAGGTATGACTGCTACATCACTCTGGTGGTTATATGATCACATTTTGGTTGCTTAGAAGCTAGCTTGCAGTTGTGCAGTACTGCGGTTGAAGTATCCCAATTGCGTTTTGCATTTTTTTTTAGTTTTGCAAAGACCCCAATTGGATAAGAATTGCACCACATGACATTAACAACCATAATGTACACTTAGTGGCCATGGTAAAAATGGTTGAAACGTTGCGTCCAGTCATGTAATAACTCAACTTACTATGGAAAAAGCCAATAATCAAAGCTTAAACTTTAGTGTTTATTAGACAGCTCATGCTAGAAGGAAGAATACAATATTTGAGTCAGACCACCCTCCCCTCCAAGAAAGAGATATACTCAAATTTATAATTTTCAGAAAGATGAGAGATTAATGCACAAGTAACATATAAGCAATACATATTCATAGGTAAGAGATCTGAAGTTACCATACGTAAGGGAGCTCATGCTACTTCCTGTGCCTCTTGGACTTGCAAAACCAAAAAGGGAGGAAAACAGGGAGGAAAACATCTCCCGTAAATCAAGGGAAGGGGGGAATTTGAGAATGCCAAATGCTAAAAAGAAAAAAAAAAGTACAATTGCAATGACTCACAGCCAAAATTCTATGCTGAGTTGTGGATGTAAGTCAAGGACTATGTAAGATTTTTAAGGGGCTGGAGCAGCTTTCCTATGAAGAAAGGTCACAATATAGAGATTTTGAGAGCCTAGAAAACAGGCAAATGAAAGGAAATGTGGTTGAGGTGTAAAAATGATGCATGATGCAAGCAAAGTGAACAAGGAGAAACTATTTCATCCGATGAAATTGAATCTTGGAAGAATCAGGGTAGAAAAAAGTGTTGTTGCTGTTTTTTAAATGTGTAATTCACTACCTCAAGATGTGTTACTGGCTACTTGCTTGACTGACTTCAAAAACTGTATGAAAGTCATGGTTATTAGCCTTGCTAGCGAAGTGACTCCTTCTGAAGACTAATGTGCTTGTACAATTGGTTGGCCACTGTGAGAACAGACTGCTGGACTAGATGAGCCAGAGGTCCAATCCATCAGGAGACTGGTTATGTTCTTATTTAAAACATTTACATTTATTTAAATTCTTTTAGGGAGGCTGTGTTCACAGATATAAAGGCCATTTCAACATGAAGTTATAGGTGGACCCTTTTTATTCAAGGGTGTGTGTGTGTATCTGACTGAAGGCAACCATCTTTGAATCAGATTGTTGGACAATATGGACTTTTGTCTGATTTGATGAAATGATTATTTTATTTCTGGTATCTTATATTTCCCACAGATGCCTCGGATATGGCTAGATTACTGCCAGTTTCTCATGGATCAATGTCGGATCACCCGTACCCGCAGGACATTTGACCGGGCGCTCAGAGCTCTGCCCATCACACAGCACCATCGTATCTGGCCACTTTACCTGAAGTTTGTGCGACTGTATCCATTACCTGAGACAGCTGTACGGGTCTACCGTAGGTACCTAAAGGTGAGGGTGTCCCCCCATTCCCACTATAGGTGCTCCTTGTCAAGATTGTCCAATTATGAGACGTCTTTTCATTATGGGAACAGTCCATCTCTTTCTCAAGCACCTATAGTGATGACCTTGATGATTGCCAGGCTCTCACGATCCACACACACTTTCTCAGCATTCGATTTCCCCCCCCCCCCCCATTTCATTGGCAAGTTGAAAAGAGTTAAGGTTTGAAAAAAACAAAGCGGTTCAATCTTTGACACCCCTTGACTTAAAATCCATTCACTTAGCGACCACTCAAAATTACAATGGTGTTGAAAAAAGTCACAGTTGGTCCTCTCACAACTGCTGCAGCATCCCCACAGTCACAGGATCAAAATTCGGGCACTTGGCAACCAGCATGTATTTATGACCATTGCAGCATTTCAGGATCATGAGACTGCCATTTGTGTTATTCCCAAGTGGCTTCTGACAGGTAAAGTCAATTTGCGGGGGAGCGAGCCAGATTCACTTCACAGCTGCATGATTCACTTAATTACTGCAATGATTTGCTTTACGACCATGACAAAAAGTCATATACTTGGGCGCAACTCATTTAACATTTAACTCATTTAACAACTGCCTAGCTTAGCAACAAATTCTGGTCCCATTTGTAGTAGTAAATCCTGAGCTACCTGTAATATATATTTTATAATTTTCCTCTCCAAAATGGTTGCGTACTCTAAAAAATGGGGGTCAATCAGAGAATACCATAGTTCTTCCTCCTTTAGCTACTTTTTGTTACTGGCATAGATCAGGAACTGAGAAATTATTTTTATTTGCAGTTTTCTTGAGTCCTTTATTGGAAAACATTGGCCTGAGGAAGACTATTTCTGACAAAGTCTAAGAACAGACATAGTTTGTTTGATTGGCATTTATGTTGAGGTACCTGTGATCTTCAGCTTATTGATTATGGTCTGTTATAGGGCTTCTATGTGTTCTCTGTGTGTTTAAGATAAAAATCAGGTCTAAATATGTTCAAATGTTATCAGCTTTAATATGGCAAATGAGCACGGTCATATTTGTGTGTGTGTGTGTGTGTGTCTCCACACATGGCAAGTTACTGTTCTATCATTCCTCCTTGTATACTACAACTGTTAAAATATAGAATATTTGTCCTTTTTTTTTTTTTTTTTTTGGAATCTTGTAAATGTACATAAAAGAAGGGATTACATAATATGTGACTCAGAAACAACTTCTAGATATATAGACTATCACAATTTCACAGCCATCGTGACCATTGCTAAGACTTTCAAGAGGAAAAGTCCACACACCTGTAAGTTTCCAGAATTGGGGAATAATAGAATATACCTGATCCCATATGCAAGTTAAAGATAAAACTGGGATAAAGACCTCAAAAAATT